ACTCCGCCCCCTCCCGGGACGCAGGGCTGTGCTCCACTCTCGTGGCCTCCGTCACCCGCTCAGCTCCCTGCCCTGGGCGGGGAGGCCGGCTTGTGGGGTTGAGTGGCCCGAGCTGAGGGCGCTGAGAGCTCAGGTCGGCGACGACGACGGCGTTGATATCGGTGGTAACAACGGCCTCAGCAGGCGGGGAAGATGAAAGGGTGAGGAAGGGGAGCCCGGCAGGGCTGGGCAGGCGGGGGAGGATTGCGAAGGAGAGGAGAGACTAGGCGAAGACCCGGCGGAGGGAGATTTCTCGGCTGGTCTGCTTACGGAGGGGGCGGAGGCTCGGCTCGGCTGGGCTCGGGCTGTTGGCGCGCTGAAGGGCCAACAGAGGCGAGACGCGCGCAGCCCAGGATTCCGGCCCAGAGGACGAGTGTGTTAACTGGAGAATAGCTACTGAGTGTGGGTGGTAACAGGGTAAAGCTCTCGTGAGCTGCCTGGGGTCTCCTCCCCGGAAACGGAGGGCCGAGACTCCCCCAGCCCGCCACTCCAAGTGGAGTGGTCTGGTTGTCCTCTTCGTACCTAGGCTCCACACCGGGAACCTTGGTGTTTGTCATCGTTCAGTTTTATTCGCACTTCAGAGCTTTGCGGGACCTTCTGGAGGAAGAAGGAATTGGAATAAAGAGCAGCGAGATGAGTATTAAGAGCTAGTGACTCAACTGGATTTGGGTTGGGTCAGACCGGGTGGAGGAGGGGGGGAGAGAGCGTGAGCACTGTTGACTTGGGGTGCCAAAATGTTTAAGGAAGTGTTGTTGACCAGTAGGTGGAGCTGTTGCTCCAGTAGTTTAGTACTGCCCCTGTACTGTGGGGGTCCTTAGTTACTACGAAGCTTTCTTCAGGTAATTTGCAAAGTTAGTATTCTTTCATAGTTTTCCTCTTGGATAAAATTAGGGATTATTTTGGTACGACTATTTCCAAATTTAGATAAGGTGTCACCTTACTATTAAATTACATACTGTTAAAATTTTAATTACATAACACGGTGTTTTAAAATATTGGCCATTTGAGAGCTTGCCTTTACCCTCCTCAGAGGAAAAAATGGAATCTTACCAATGTTAAAAGCATTCTGAGATACCTGAGTTTTTTCTTTTTCATTAATGATTCTTTAAAAGTATAATTTTTATTGGTGTAATTTTTCTATTAATTAGAAAAATTATTTTTCTATTAATAGTTTCTATACATCAAACTATTTTCAATTTATTTAATCATGACTTTGTTATTGGACATGTGGATAGTTTTCCAGATATTCACTATATTCTTGTAAATGTATCTAAATATGTCTCTAATGATTTTCTTTTTTTAACTTCAATTTTTTATTGACACTATTGCAGATGTCCCCCATTCCCCCCTACACCCTTAGCCCTCCTCCACCCCGCCTGGGGCTCGGCCCCCCCCCACACACACACACACTATTG